CTCGCATGCTGCCATGGCTACTGCAGGTCGTGCTCTCAGGTCCACCCATCGACGCTCCCCCCCCCTGTAATCTATACGTGTAGGTATAACGCAGCAACCGAGTGTGTTCGGTACAGTGTATGGAAAGACGTCAGCCGCAACAAAAAAGCAATGGGCCCACGAGAAGGAGCTGTGCGCGCTTATTCTCATCGCCTCTGGGACTCGGTCAAGTAACGAACGGTTGACCCGCACCACCACTGCTTGGCTCGCACAAGCGCCGGCAAAACAGACAGCAATTGCCGGCTTTTCTAGGCTTGGATGGTCGAGAATGAACATACCGATGCGACGACCCATTGGATATGATTGGGCCCCGAAATGCGTCTCCGCCGACTAGGTATTGCGCAGTGGCAACTGAGCTTCAAGAGTGACTGACAATAATGAGCTTTTGGTGGACTACCTGATGGCGCGGCAGATGGGTAAGTTGCAAGTACATCGGCGCTTTGCTCTCGAACGTCAGGGCAGTATGCATCCCATGGTTAATATGTGAGAAGCCAGCGGTGAACCCGCTCGACCCTGCTGTTTCGGACACCGAGACAAGCACCATGACGCAGCCTCCCAAGGTCTGATGGAAAAGCAACACCTCGAAGCCGAGTTCTGCCGTCCCGCGATACGCAGTGTAAAAAAAGAAGGATAAAAAACAAAAATCAACGAAGACTGGTGTGCGGCATGGCACGGGCATTGTGACATTTCCGAATTATACCTGCATATACTCCGTATACTCTCTCTCTCTTTTCCTCCTTGTGCTGGGCTTGAATCGAACTGACTAGACGGCTGATGGCCTCGGATGCAGGGCGCCGGCGCAGTTGCTCTGGGATACGAGACTGCACTGCGGAATTTGCTCCCGACAGCCTGGATCCTCCACCGCCATGCACTGTACCAGCGTTGGACCCAGCACTACCACTAGTCTAGGTAGGGAGGGCGCGATGAGATGGCCAGTGCTCCAGTGCTTCCTGTCCACGGGATCCGAATCAGGATGAAGAGGGCTCACCACGTCTTCGGAAACGGCCATGGTAATTGACTCGTTTGTATCCATCTCGTTCGGTTCAATCATCCGAAACTGGCCGCGTTGCACGTCGTAACATAGTCACCAGCCTTGAGGCGGGTCTAGTTATGCAGCTGTTCTTCACGATGACTGTCTGTCCCTGACAAGCGGAACCAGGCCCGCAGGCAAAAGGCAGGATCAGCAGGTAAGAGGAAAGAGGACGACGAGGCGAAGCCACGAAACAAAGCCCGTTTGTGGAATCGGAGATTGGTGTCAGGAATGTCATTCTGTGGGTGGTGGGCGGATCTGAATCAAGACGATGGTCGAAGGCGTCGTGGTGCAATTTGTGAAGGCGGCGCCGAGTTGCCCCTTGTTCGCCATTGACCAACAGGCAAGCTCGGCGAAGATGAGGGCTATCAGCCTGTCATCGAAGAAGGAAGAGACGACTTTTGAGCGAGCAATAACGGGCGCACACCAACCGATATGACTGCTTTCCCACTGGCCCTGGACTGGAACCCCGGGAACGACCTCGTTGCCGACTAAAAGACCCCACCCCCTGCTAATCACCCTGGTTTTCAGGGCACCCGCTTAAGGTCCACTGGCGCACAATACCCTGGGTGCACAGTACACCGTTGTCAACCGAGCTTGTTGGTGTCCTCCACACCCCCCTCCCCCTTGATACGGCGTTACCAGATGTACATGGTAAGGCGCTGTGTAGGGAGGGAGCAGAGAAGGGAAGGAAAAATGAAGGAAGCGAGAGGGATTCTGGGGAACGAACGAGCCACCGAGGGGGCTTTGACCTCGTCGCCCTTCGTCTCGTATATGGCAGACACGATTATGGCAGTTGCCATGGCAAAAGAAGCAACGACGAACGGAGCATATCTCGTGGTCCGATTCCGCTACCAATTAGCAGACAACCACGGATGGCCGAGGGACTTTGTTTTGTCCACCACGACTGACTACACTATCTACACTACCTGGGTTAGGTAGGTAGTCAGTGTTTTCCTTGCAACCCGGTTGCTCCAATCGAATTCCCCCAGAAACAGAAGACCGCCGGTCTAGGCAGGTAGGTACCCGTCCGATTTCGACTTCGCAACGGAGGAGAGTCCGTCGCCAAACCTTGCCGATGTGCGCCCTCCGGCTCCGGGGGGATGCCTCGAACCCTCTCGGGCTCTACTTCGTACCAAGGAGGTCGGTTCTTTCGACCCGTACGCGATCTCGCCTCGCCTAATCCTGCAAAGCGTGGGATGTGACCATGGGAATTCGGGCGGGAACCCCAGGCAGAGAGACAGAGAGACAGACAGACAGACAGACAGACAGACAGCTTTGGCTAGGTCTTGCTGCTCCATCACATCCCACCATCACCATGCTGTTGCATCAGTGCGCCCTCGGTATTTGCGTCTCCAAACCTCGCGAGTCACAGCGCCGTCCGAGGACAGTCCAAGATTGCTGATAGTTCCGTCGATGATGCCGTCGCCCCTCACCTTCCCCGCCTCCCTCCCTTCCAGCACCGATACGCCGTCAGCAAACGCCCCCTCCCCCTCCCATGTACTACTGTACACTACTCTCGCTGATACACTCTCGTTGGGAGGGTGCCAGCACGTGTGTTTCTAACGGTAAACAAGACCCCGGAATTGCCGCTTCTTGGGCCTCGGAATCTGGATCGGCCAGTTTTTCTTGACAGCAACGCACCTCGCCTCGGATGCGTTTGCTGGTCAGCCCTGTCTTGGATTTCCCGACTCTCGCCCGTCCGCCCGACGGTCCCCCGATACCAGTCAGGACGGACGAGGTCGAACGAGGTTGGGCTTGCTTCGGGTTGCCTTGGGTTGCCCGGGTTCGGTTCGGTACCTCTGTACCTCGCACTCCGGTTAGGTACCTTGGCTAGGTAGAAGATGGAAAACAATCATGGGACGGAACCTGCGTCTTGCGTCTGCACCTGCATCCGCACCTGCATCTGCATCTGCAATGGCGTCTGCACAACAGCAACCACGCCGCTGCCGTCTCGGCCGGCGCCCCATCTGTACGGTATCCCGACACTACCTAGGCATCCTTCGATTGTTGCCCCTCTTTGTCGTGTGTGTAGGAGTAGAGAGACGTCCCTAAGACAGGCGGAGAAAGGCAGGGGGAGAGAGAGAGAGAGAGAGAGAGAGTGTGTGTGTGTGTGTGTGTGTGTGTGTGTTGTCGCACCCCCCCACCCTCAATACTCGCTACTCGGCCAAGACGGCCCAGCGTTGCACGTGGTCGAGCTTCACTGTTCTGTGTATCCGTATACACAAGGATATGGATTAAGGCCCCGGCGAAACGCCGCAGTTGCTGTATTCCTCGCGCCTTCTCTGATTCTTCTTCACATTCTGCATTCCCTCTCTCTTGCCCCCTTCCGCAGCTTCGCCGCTTAGATTGCTACGTACCCCCCCCCCCCCTTCACTTCCTTGCTCCTTCTCTCTCTCTCTCTCTCTCTCTCTCTCTCTCTCTCTCTCTCTCTCTCTCTCTCTCTCTCTCTCTATCACTCGCTTCCTCTTTTTCTCCATGCTCTTTCAGCCAAGGTAGGTAGATATGTACCTGAACACACATATCCACACACACACACATACGCACACGCAGGATACAATTCCGGTAGCATACCTGTCTCCTCTCTACCCTCCTTGTCTACCGCTTTCCTCTCGATACTCTTCCATTTCCCACCCAAGGCTGTATGTAGCTTGCTCCCTGGCCCTTTTGACCATCGATCGAATCGGCAGATGGAAGGGCACAGACTCTGCTCCGATCCTCCTTTGTTCCTCAGCGTTCAGTGTGGCCCATCCCTCGGGAGACAAGAGACGCCAGACTGACGCACTATACAATAGGCTTGCCTCCGTCAACACTCGAGCGTCACGCTAACTTAGCCGTGCAAGCGGCCCCAACTGATCTTCAACGTCGCCAAACCGCCCAAAAGAAACTCGCAAACCCTCCAAAATCAGAGAGAGGGCCGACAATACAACCAAGGTACGCACGCTTGCAGGGGGAACATGGAGGGCGGGCACGGTACCTGTGTACTTCAGTCCACCCTCCAAAGTTCCCGGACCCTTGGCCTGGCGACACCCCTCCCCCCTCCCTACACCCCCCCTTCGCTTCCCTACACTACATAGTACGACGTGATCATCCCCTCGCTTTGGGCACTCACATGGGGGAGGACGACTCTTTTTGGGCTCCCGAAACCTTGAGTCTAGCCCTGGACCTGGTATGCAGCTATCCAGCATTAGCACTGGCAAGGATCCCTCCAACAGTCCGTCCCAGGGCTATGACATTCCTGCTATTCCTATTCCCCTCCCACATCAATGCCCGTCATCTCCCCCCTACATTCCATAACATTTGCTTCTTCCCATCAAAACCGCCTGGCACACATGCCTAGTGATCTGTTCTTCTATTTCACTTTTCTCTCTCTCTCTCTCTCTCTCTCTCTCCCCTTCCCGCCGTAAGCTGACTGTCGTCGTCCGCTCGACAGCTCGATACCGAAACGTCCACTCGACGTACCGACGTGGGATTTCTCTTCTGTAAAGAACACTTTCACGCCAGAGGCGCAGCGCATTTTTGATCTCGAGCTGTACCCGACATCTGCTGCCCTCGGCGCACATTGACCCATTGGCCCATCCGATTTCCGCACGAGGACACTGCGGAGCCGCAACAAACGAGATTTCCGTATCCAAGAGCGCAGGCTGGACCGGACTTCTTTGTGTGTGTCTACCGCATTTGATACGGACCTGTCCAACATCGCGGTAGCCTCCGACTTTAGGATCCCAAACCTCGCGTGCATCTCACTTACACCGCATCCTCCCATGCTTTTCCACGAGAGAGATTTGCAGCAGCCATGGTAATGCTGACCGACCATTCCATGCGTGCCAGTCTCCAAGTGGCTCCCCTCAAGCTTCAGAGAGCCCGATCCGGCGATGTCCCGGCTTCGAAACAAGACCACGATAGCTCCAGGTCGTACCCAACAACGCAAATGACACCACCCGCGACGCCCAATGGCTCGCAGGAAGACCTGGGCGCGGACCAGATGCCGCCGCCCGTCTTCCACAACTTCCTGCGAGCCTTCTACCCTTTCCACCCGAGCTATGCCATGACCGATTCGAGCGTCACCCTGCCATTGAACGAGGGCGATGTCATCTTGGTACATTCTATCCACACCAACGGCTGGGCTGATGGAACCCTACTAGTATCTGGTGCGAGGGGGTGGCTCCCGACCAACTACTGCGAGTCGTACGATCCGGAAGAGATGAGGAATCTGCTGAAAGCCTTGCTCAACTTTTGGGATTTGCTCCGCAGCACATCAGTCAACGACAAGGAAATCTTTGGCAACCAAGAGTTCATGAAGGGCATCATCGCGGGAGTGCGCTATCTTTTGGTAAGCTATTCATTCCAGTCCCCGCTCCCATTTTACTGCTCTGCAGGCTTTCGCCGTGCTTTCGTGTTGCTGACACAGATCAGGAACGCACACACTGCCTGACCAGAGAATCTGCCATCATCACTCGCAATGATGGCTTGAGGCGGGCGAGGAAGACGCTACTTTCTGAGCTGTCGGGATTAGTAAAGACAGCAAAGCGGTTACAGGAAGCGCAGAAGGGCTTTGGCCAACCCCGTGAAGAGGTAAATGACATTATCGACGAGATGATCCTCAAGGCCTTCAAGATTGTCACCAAGGGCATGCGCTTCTTGGACATCCTCGAGGATGATCGGCGCCAACGTGCCCCTGCAGTCACCGTCATGGCAACAGTAATCGAGGAATCGTACATCCCGCCGACGCCACCTGCAGAGAACACCCGGTTCGACGAGACTCGCAGTGTAGGAATCCAAGGACCGACAAACGCAACACCCACCCGGAGTACACCATCGCCCCCGGCTGACGGTACACAAGCATCCAGGGCATTGAGTAACAGGCGGCTTTCGACAGCGTACTCGCCCAGTAGCCCTAATACGAACCGATTGTCTCAGAACGTCAAACGGCTGTCGGCCAACATATCACATCGCGTCTCACTGGCTGGTCCTTCTCCTCTGTCGAGGCCGCAGCATCTTGTCTCAGAACGCCTCAACAAGAGCCACGACACCTTCCTGTCCCACCTGGGCTCCTTCATTGGCCGTCTGCACTTGCAGTCTCAGTCGCGGCCGGAGTTGGCCTTTGCCATCAAGCTCTCAGCGACGTCCGGTGGGGAACTACTGGCTGTCGTTGATGTTGTGTGCGGGCAGACCACCAGTTCGGAGATGCTGGAGCGGGCGAGGGACATGATGTTTGAGCGCATCGGTGAGTTGGTCACGGCGGCTGGCCAGATCATCCGTCATGCCGCATTTCAGGACGCCGACGTTCTCATGCCGCACGACAACAGCATGCTGCTGACGGCCGCCACGGGCTGCGTCAAAGCTGCTGGCGAGTGCGTGGCCAAGACGAAATGGGCGATTGAGCGTGTTGGTGATTTCGAGTGCGAGTTCGAGGTGGGCGAATTGGGCATTGACCTGGGCGTGCTCGACCTCGCCCCCGAGTCCCAATACCGGCGTTCGTCGATTGCCCCGTCTGTCACGGACACTGCGACGACAGATGCGACCAGCGTCGCCGAGTCGGCGAGGAACTCTGACTCGGGCCATTCTGTTGTGCAGCCAGCGCCCCACCAACAACAAAGGCCGAGCATCGCCAACGACAAGCCGCTGCCTCAACTCCCGCCGGTCGACGGTGCCGAGTCGCACCAAGTTCATCCGCGTCGACCCCCGTCTCAGACCTCGTCTGCTCCCAGCTCTCGGCCTTCGTCCTTCGTCAGCGACAATGTTTCGAACAGGCCACCCTCTGGCTCATCGACCCGGCCGGCCCTCCCACCTCTGCCCAAACTCGCCACGTCCCTGCCCCCGGGAGATGAATATGGCCCCGTTGAAAACACAATCCAGGATACCGACTATAATGTTTCTTCTCGTGTTGACAGCATGGCCGCGTCGAGCGCCGGCAGCAGCAGCACTTACCTCAGCCGGGACTCCGAGGCCAGCCTGGTGTCCCAGACCTCAACCCGTGCAACCACTCCGGACCACACCCTGGCCCCAAGACTCCAGCCGTCCATTTCGGAGCTCAGCAACGCCGGAAGTACGGGCGCCAACGAAGAAGTAGACGATGTCGAGTTTAAGATGCTCGAAAAGACGTACGCCCACGAGCTCATGTTCAACAAGGAGGGTCAGGTCACCGGCGGCTCTCTCGCTGCCCTCGTCGAGCGCCTGACGACTCACGAGTCCACTCCCGACGCGACCTTCGTCTCGACATTCTATCTTACCTTCCGCCTTTTCTGCAGCCCTCACAAGCTGGCCGAAACACTCATCGATCGCTTCCACTACGTGGCCGAGGCCCCTCACATGGCAGGCCCAGTCAGGCTGCGTGTGTACAATGCCTTCAAGGGCTGGCTCGAGTCCCACTGGCGTGACGAGACCGACCGTGAGGCACTCCCCCTTATACAGCCCTTTGCCCAGTTTGAGCTTACTGCCGTCCTGCCTTCTGCTGGCCGGCGGCTTCTTGAGCTGGCCCAACGTGTGTCCAAGGACACTGCGCTTGTGCCCCGACTCGTGTCATCCATGGGCAAGACAAACACCTCGATCGCACAGTACATCCCGGCCGACACCCCACACCCGCCACTGGCCATTACCAAGAGCCAGATTCAACATCTCTTCGCGTGGAAGAACGGCGGGAGCAACCCGACCATCCTTGACTTTGAGCCCCTCGAGATCGCACGCCAGCTCACCATCAAGCAGATGAACATCTTCTGCTCCATCATGCCGGAGGAGCTTCTCTCCTCGCAGTGGATGAAGAAGGGCGGGGTAGATGCCCCCAATGTCAAGGCCATGTCGGCCCTCTCCACCGATCTGTCCAACCTGGTCGCGGAAACCATTCTTCACTACTCCGAGGTCAAGAAGCGAGCAGCTGTCATCAAGCAATGGATCAAGATTGCTCACCAGTGTCTGGAGCTCCACAACTACGACGGCCTCATGGCCATTATCTGCAGCCTGAACAGCAGCACCATCAGCCGACTACGCAAGACGTGGGAAATTGTTTCTGCGAAGCGCCGTGAGATGCTTCGGACGCTCCAGGCCATTGTCGAGCCCGCCCAGAACAACAAGGTCCTACGGACTCGCCTGCACGACCACGTCCCTCCTTGCTTGCCGTTCCTCGGCATGTTCCTCACGGACCTAACCTTTGTCGACATTGGCAACCCAGCGACGAAGCAGATCCCCACCCTTGGCGGCGACGGCTCTGAGGAGAACGGCGGCGGCATGACCGTCGTCAACTTTGATAAACACACCCGTACTGCCAAGATCATTGGCGAACTCCAACGGTTCCAGATCCCGTACAGACTTACCGAGCTCCCCGAGATGCAAGACTGGATGACGGCGCAGATTGTGCGCGTCCGCGAGGGCGACCCGGGTAATGTGCAAGTCACGTACTACCGCAAGAGCCTGCTTCTGGAACCCCGCGAGATGGTGGCGCGAACACCTGTCGAACCCCAGAGCAGTGCGACGGGCGCCCCGCGCGGCGATATCTTTGGTTGGATGACGCGAGACCGCAATGCCGCGACGCCAGCGGCACTGTGAAGTCTCGGAGTAATGCGCCTGTGTCTCGAAGACATTTTAATCGATCAGCAAACATCATTTCCACATTTTCGGCAACAAACTTTTACCTCTTTGCTTTTCTCTTTTTTTTTTTTTTTTTTTTTTTTTTTAATTCTGCTTCACTTTTGATACCCCATTTTCTCACCTCGCTTCGAGGCTTTATGTCAGGATGACATTCCTACCCGGCGTTCATCTGCTTCTGTGCCCTCATTCTTGTCTGGGCTTGAGGCCTCAACCGCCGGGACTGGAAACACCGGTGCTGGACCTGTTCTGCCACATTGTATGGATGCTGGGGAGTCCTCCTTGTGTTTGTCGGCGGCGAATAGGAAATGCGGCGCGCGATTGGCTCTGCCCGCCTTTATTGGAATATCTCAACGTTCGCTCCAAGGCTCTGTTGGAACGGCCTTCTGTCCCTTTCTTTTTTCGTTAGCAACTTTTGACGGTTTTGGATCGCCTGAAACAAATGGGCATAGGAGTTGTAAGTATAGCCAGTATGGGTCTTTCTTGGATGCCCTAGGGACTGGAATCACGGTATGCGGCGCGGCAGGCTCGTTCAAAAGCAAAATGGGAGGGCGGCGGCGGAAAGACCAAATTCATACACTGTATATGTAGGCTAATTCTGTATAACGGCTCTTCATGACGATGGAAACAGATACCATGAGTAAGAAAATCGAATGCTGATGATAATCATTACTCCGTCGTGCCAATCTCTGAATAACACTCTTTTACGTGCTTGTGACTGATGACCCCGAGGGAAATGTCCCGAAAGAGACCAAGTAGACACCTTCTGAATTTACTCACTCGTATGCACAATTGCCATTTCGGGTCCGACACTATATCTATTATGACTTTGACCAACTGTCACCCCCACCCCCCTTCCTTCGGGTTCTTATAGGTTTTAGCCAGATAAACGTTTTGCGCGCCGCAGGTGTTGAAGCAATCAGCAACACCCATGGACGCCGACCGACCGTACCGTCCAATCCGTCTCTCGGCATTGGAGGGCCCCTGAACACATACCCACGTGTCTGGCACAGTCTTTTACGCCCGCTGCGTCTTCCCCCCCCTTCTGCTTCTTCTTCTCCATTTCTTTTCCCACGAGGCCTTCTCCGCGGCGGGCAGCGATGACGGCCTGGTACTCTCAAAAGACCTCTGAAGGTGGGGCCGGCGCCGACGGCTCCGACGAAGACGACGGTGGTGGAAGGGGGGCGTGTCGTCGCCGCGAGGGGCGCGAGAGAGCGCGGTCTGGGCGGCCGGTTTGGGCCTCGCCTAGCCTGCGGTGGTGTCAGCTGGGGGGTTTGGAGATGGGCCATTTGGAGCGGAGCAGATGCCAAGGATGATGTCCGATGGTGTTATATGGTGGCACGACGTATGGTGGGAGAGGGGTCTTCGGGGGAAGACGAGATGGAGAGCCTGCCAGCATCCATCCCCGCGAGATCCGAATCCCGGATGGTCACGGGAGTAGAGTTTGGCCGAGAGTGGCGACACAGAACCTCGGGTCCTCCGTACCATTGTGCCATCTTGTTGAAGCCCCTTCCCCCGCCTCCCCGGCTTCAGTGTTTGTTTCCATCACATCCTCGTGTACGGGACATACGACTGGATTGGCAGGCGGTTGGTACTCGCTCTGGTGCCTCGAGGAGGGGGTTCCCAAGACGCCATAGCTAACTCTGGCACAAAACAGGCACTCGAGCGATGATCTATGGCAGTTTCGAGCTGACTGGTGCTAGGAAAATCCATCGTTTGTCTTCAAGGCTAGTGGCTTGGTCGCGGCGGGGCGGCTATGGGCGGACGCAAAGAAAAAAAAACAGGCCGGCGGTGCAAAAAAGAATGCAGGTGCGAGAATAAGTTGGGCAGCTTTGAGTTTCGCGGTGCGACACGGGTCGGGTGTCGCAAGGGAGGACAAGGACTGTGATCAGCCGTCGGTAAGGAGCGGGTGGTGGGAGGTGGACGAGATTGGAACGTCACAGGCCCAGGGCCTTGGGTTGGGAAAGAGAGCAAACCGGGCGGCTGGGTAGGGTAGCAAGGTAGCAAAAGACTATCTCGACGTCGGACATGGGAGTGGCTGAGTGGAGGTGAGAGCAGAAGATGTCGTCGGGCGGACCCCCCATGTCGCGTCGTGTCGAGTAGTTGGCCTGGGTATTGGCAATAGAGGGGGATGTAACCTTTGGAATGCCGGACCAGAAGAGCGTGTGCGGCGGGAGTGTGGGGTAGGCGAAGGGGAAAAGTGAGTGGTGATATCTTGGCTAGAGACGATTGGCGGCCGATGGGCCGTGGTTATCGAGATGGTGCGGATGGAGTCGTCTCACGGGTCGTATATCTATCTGTAGACTGTAAGCCGGACAGACCTACCGAGGCCGTTGAGTCTCTTTCTCGAGGCCAAGTGTTGCGACGGATGAGGACAGACAGAAAGGAACGAACAAAGAAACAAGGTAGAGAAGCATATCGGAAGAGGATATGGATGAGACGGGATGGCAGATGGCATGAGATGCAGCCGGCCGTTATCTGTGTAACAAACCCACGAGGTGTTGCGAGGATTCATTGTGTTGTCGATGGTGTGTATACCAAGTAAAGTAAAGTACCTATAGGTAGGTATAGTATGCATCGAGTGACGGAGGCTAGCTTTGATGACCGATGAGATACAAACGGAGCACTGCCGGCGGTGTCCGTCCACCTCATGGTTGGATGGATGAAGGAACGTTACATGTATACATACCCTGGGGCACGGACCATGGAGAGGGAGAGATATACACTACACGAGGGGGGGGGGGGGGGGGGAGGTGCAGAAGAGTGGTAGATGGCAGGCGGCAGGTGCGTGTTTTGGTACCTGGAGAATACGGCCGTTCCTTCTCTTTTTTCCAGATTGTGCTTGCTTGTTCGTTTGTTTGTGTATTGCGGAGTGGGGGAAGGAGGCAGGAGGAAGAAGAAGAAGACACAAGAGGGAAGGCATGCGATGGAGAGAAGGCACGACACGACACGACACGACAGGACACGGGAGGCGGGAGACGGGAGACGGGTCCTGGGCACAACAGTACGTGCCGCGTACCAAGTAGCACTCGTCGTACAGTACGGTACGTACATGATACTCCCTGCATGGTGTACTTACCCATCCATACCTGGCACTCGTCAACATACGCAGTATTCTTAAGATTTCGAACAAAGAAACGAGACACACGGCATGTGTCCAACTCGTTCGTATCCAGCAAACCAGCCCAGCCTTGGATGCGACAGCGATGCGACGGCACAAGTGCGATGCGATGCGATGCGGTGCGGTGCGGTGTGTGTGGACGGGGTCGACGGGGGGGGGGGGGGGGGGGGGGACCCTTTTTCCTTGTTAGGTAGGTAGGAACTTACAGGTATCCGTACCGAGTACGGAGTACTGGCTTGGGGTAATGTGAGGCTGGGCTTACGTTACTCCCTTACTCCCTCCCTAGGTAGGTAACCTTACGTAAGGTACCTCGGTACGGTACGTAGACCATCGCTAATTACACTCTTTCTTCTCTTCACGGCACATCCGTATCCATCCATGAGTATCCGTACAGAGTACGGATACACATACATATACAAACAAACACCTGCTGCTTGTCGAGTCGAGTCGGGTCTGGATGAAACACGGTCGGTGGCAAGCACTGACTGACTGACTGACTGACTGTCTGTCTGTCTGTCTGTGCCTCACAATCATTTATTATTCTGCCCGTCTGGCCTGATTACAACTCCTTCGTAAGCCTCTCTCTCCTATCTCGCATCTCTCGGTCGGACCACCTTATCGTGTGCCCACACTTGGTTCCCCATCCATATCTGTGGACTCGGTTTCCTATCAATCCCACAATCCCACACCACACCCCAGTTACCGTCGCAGAATCCTTCCGGCAAACCAACCATCCATCCATCTGCCATTGTCACCTTTGATCAAAACCGCCACCAGTGTACGGCACGTAGGGGGGGGCGGGGTAGCGTGCGCCCGCGGTCTCAAAGCTGCGTGCGGGAGGCTTGCCGCTAAACATCCTTCTTCGCAGTAGTGCAGAGGTACGCTTCCACGTAGCTTAGGTACCTTGCCTACCTTAGTTCTTACCTACCTACCGGTAGGTAGATACGGATGGATACTACATCTCCCCCATCATGTGAATGAAGGACACTACGGATATTGTGAGACGGTATCCCCGTATCCAATCCTCGCCGGCCGACTGCTACGTAGCGTAGCTTGATTGCCACACATCCCTTCCCGTTCGACACCTCCAAAGTGCCTCCTTCAGTCCATCAGACAGACGCATCTCGGTCCAGCTATCAAACGTATGTATCCGTCTCGTCGAGCCAGGCGACCCTTCTGCTGCTGCTGCTGCTACCCTGCAGACCACTACGCATGCTGCTTCCTTTGCCTGACCGAGGTAGCTCTCGACTCCCAGGCTGCCTTATCCAATCCTGGTCCGTTCCGTCTTAATCGGTCGTCCTGTGCATATTGTCAATGTCATCCCCCCCCCCCCCCCCCCCCCCGGCATCTAGCAAATTCTTTATTTCCCCCCCGTCCAGTCCAGTCCAGTCTAGTCCAGTCCTATCCTATCCTGTCCTGTCCTGTCCTGTCCTGTCCTCGGATGCCTAGGCACCTGGGTATTTGCAGAAGCTCAATACGGATACACGCCGTTTGCTTGTCTACTACTACCTGGTAGTGTCTTCCAATCCTATCCCGTCCCTCGTCCCATCTCCCTGTCTCAAACCTCCAAGCAACAAAAAGTACGTTTCGTTTGCTGTCCATCTGCCATCTCTCTCTCTCTCCCTCTCCCTGCACTCATCTTCCCCAATCACACCTCTCTCTGCTCGTAATCCTCACCCCGGTCACTCCTTCCCACACGCCACGCTCCACCAACGATCATCGCCCGGTGCAACTGCAACCTGCAGCCCGATAAACTATTCCATAAAGAAGCTGCACGCCTCCCTCGGCCCTTTTTTTCTTCCCACCCTTCGCGCGCCTTCACTAGCTGCTTTCTTCATCTCTACTCCCCTTCACCTCGTGCCGTTGCTACTTAACCGGCTCTCTCTCTCTGCCCCTCTCCCTCCCCTACGTCGTTGGGCACGATTAAGTTTCCAATCCCCGACACTTGAACTGAAAAGGGGGAGAAAAAAAGAGAGAACCAAGCGGCGGCCACCCAATCCCCCCCAGTTACCGAAAGCCAAGCCGCCCTGACGGTCCGACACAATCGTCGATTCTTCACATCGCCGCGTCGTCGTCCGCTTTTCACAGCCACCCGCCAACATGGCTTCTGACGGCGACAAACAAGCCCCCGAGTCTGTGGCTCAGGGCTACCCCGACCCCTCCCCGGAGCCCGCCGCCGCCGAAGGCTCCGTCCCTCGCCCCGCCGGATGGATGTATCGTGGCTTCCGCGTCGGGGGCAAGGAGCTCTGGTACGCCTCGCCCCGTGTCCAGCTCTATATGGTCTCCTTCGTCTGCTTCCTGTGCCCCGGCATGTTCAATGCCCTCGGCGGCCTCGGCGGTGGTGGCCAGGTCTCGACACAGGCCTCCAACGACGCCAATACCGCCCTCTACTCCACCTTCGCCATCGCCGCCTTCTTCGCCGGCACCTTTGCCAACCGTCTCGGTCTCCGTCTGACTCTCAGCCTCGGCGGCCTCGGCTACTGTATCTACGCCGCCTCCTTCTTGTCCTACTCTCACACCGGGAACGAGGGCTTCGTCGTCTTCGCCGGCGCCTTCCTCGGTCTCTGCGCCGGTCTCCTGTGGACCGGCCAGGGCGCCATCATGATGTCCTACCCGACCGAGAACGAAAAGGGTCGCTACATCTCATGGTTCTGGATGATCTTTAACCTCGGCGCCGTCATCGGTGCCCTCATCCCCCTCGGCCAGAACATCAACAAGACCGCGAGGGACACCGTCACCGACGGCACCTACGCCGCCTTCATCGTCCTCATGTTCCTTGGCGCCATCCTCGCCCTCTTCATGTGCGACGTCCCCAAGGTCATCCGCGAGGACGGCTCCAAGGTCATCGTTATGAAGAACCCCTCGTGGCTGTCCGAATTCAAGGGCCTGTGGGAAACCCTCGCCCAAGACCCCTGGATCGTCCTCCTTTTCCCCATGTTCTTCACCTCCAACGTCTTCACCACCTACCAGTTCAACGACTTCAACGCCCCTCACTTCAACACCCGCACTCGCTCCCTCAACAACCTCCTGTACTGGTCCTCCCAGATCATCGGCGCCCTCGTCACGGGCTACGCCCTCGACTTCGCCAAGGTTCGCCGCAGCGTGCGCGCAAAGGTCTCCTTCATCGCCCTCTTCGTCCTGACCATGGTCGTCTGGGGCGGCGGCTACGCCTGGCAGAAGAAGCAGGCCTCGCGCAGCGAGATTGAGGGCGACGAGAACTGGCCCACCGTTGACTGGACCGACGGCGGCGAGCTATACATCGGCCCCATGTTCCTCTACATGTTTTACGGCTTCTTCGACGCCATCTGGCAGACTTGCGTCTACTGGTACATGGGCGCCCTCTCCAACTCTTCCCGCAAGGCCGCCAACCTGGCAGGTTTTTACAAGGGTAATTGCTGCCCCCGTCTCCCCCCCCCGGTTGCCGGTGAGCCCTTTTGAATGACAAAAAGGTCGCTAACAATTTGCAGGCATCCAATCCGCCGGCGCCGCCGTCTTTTGGCGTCTCGACGGTCTCGGTACTGACTACAACACCATGTTCGCCGCCTCGTGGGGCTCCCTGGCAGGCGCGCTCGTCGTCGGCGCCCCCATCATCTTCCTCAAGATCAAGGACACCATTGCCGTCGAGGAGGATCTCCAGTTCTCGGACGAGACCATCGCCGACGTCGCTGTCCCGGGAACTGTTGACACTAAGCTCGACAAGGAGGTCGCGTAAGCATAGTACATCATAGTACGTACAGTATAGTACATACATGCAAGTCGGTGGGCAGTTAGTTGCAAATGATATCCCGAAGAGTTGATAATGGAAGAAGGGGGTTCACGTTCATGATGGGATGATGTTATATACCACAGTGTGCTATACGGGCATGATAAAATCGTATACGTTGGTTGGATTAGGTACCTTTTTTTTGGGGGGGGGGGGGGGGGGGTTTGGCCAAGTAATAACTGGCTTTATCAAGTCACGTCGTTCTTCACACCGAAAACGCTCTGATGGCTCGTGTCTCGCCTGTCCGATCGGGTTCCGTCACAGCTTTTCAGACATACCCCCTATGTCTGTCCTCCACCTCGTCACCGCCGTACCCGCCGCCGCCGGGCGTGTTGATCTGCACATACTCCCCCTCCTTCAGGTTGATGATGGCCTTGCCCCCCAAGTTGATCTTCTCCATCCCGCCCTCCTCGTTGAAGAGGAAAGCGTAGTTCTCACCCTTCTGCCCGGGGCTGCCGCCCGCCATGCCCCACGGCCGGTACACCCTGCGGTCCGAGAGGATGCTGAACTTGAGCGGGATGCGCGCCTGGACCTCGCGCGTGATGCCGTCGCCGCCGCGCCACGTGCCGGCCCCGCCGCTGCCCCGACGGATCTCGTACCGGCGGACGAGCACCGCCGTGCGCTTCTCGATGACCTCGGCGTCGGTCTGGCGGGTGTTTGTTGAGTGGACCTGTTATTTTACGTTAGTCAGGTTTCGGCATTCCCGTCTCATTCGTTGGTGGATAGTTATAAGGGGGGGCAGGAGAGGGAAAGATAAAGAACTTACATGGACGGAATGCGCCCCGTGGTACCCCTCGCCTGCGCCGGCGCCGCCGCCGATGCTCTCGCCGTAGTTCCAGCCCTTGACGACTGCGCCCGTGTGCGGGTCCCTACCGCCCATGCCCCAGCCGAAGCTGTTGGCGCACCCCTGGCTGGCGCCGTAGCGGCCGAAGGCGCGGAGGATGACGTCGATGACGCGCTGGCTCGCCAGGGTGCTGCCGCAGATGGCGGCGCGCGGCCCCGGGTTCAGGACGGAACCGGCGGGGACGCGAATCTCGACGGGGCTCAGGCAGCCCTCGTTGAGGGGCATGTCGGCGCCGACGAGGCAGCGGACGGTGTAGATGATGGCCGAGTGGCAGATGGCGACGGGGCAGTTGTAGTTGCCCCACGTCTGGGGCCCGGAGCCGGAGAAGTCGTACCAAAGAAATGCGCTAACTAGTGCCCTTGCACACTACACGAAGGACATGTCAGAGCGCGCAGCTTGGTTATGTACATCCCAAGACAGCAATAGTAAGGTCATAGATGCAAGAGCCATGCTCTTCGCCTGCTACTCGATCTAGTGGTTACTTGCTCTATGTCCTTGCATTGCAGCTTGCTCTTGTTTAATAGTCTTCTACTTAGTTTTTTCGCTATCTTTGCGTTCATTTTCCTATTATAATAATTGCATGTTGTTGTTCTTATATATTTCGTAATT